GGAATACCATGCATTCAAACTTTGGAAAAACACAAATTTTTCCGATTTCGTATTTTTTTAATTTTTTTCATCCCTACAATTTTATGTGAAAGTTTCAGAATTTTTAATTTTTTTTGTTACAGAGTTTTGAACACTTTCCTAAGCTTTAATTTAAGTCCTCAAAGGATAAAAAATATTTTGCGGTATGGAAGATATAGCATAAAAACCACTTCTATGTCAAGATTTTAAGGACCCTAATGAAATATAAAAATTCAAAAAATGGTCGCTGTTTCTATGTCGAAAGTATGTTACATCAAATACAAAATCAAGTAATATGTTGCCTCCAAGCCCTGTTTATTTAAAATTCCTATCTTTTTCGGAACGGAAGTTATAATCAGAAAAGCTTGGTAGTATAAGTAGAAATTTGTTAAAATCCCTGTATCTCGAAAACCCTTGAGATTTCGCACCAAAGTCCGGAACAAGAGTTTTATCCACTTTCGACCCTCTAACCAATGGTATATGTTGTTGTATACCTTTCGGAATCACCCTGTATATATATATATATATATATATATATATATATATATATATATGTGTATATATGTATGAATGTATGTATGTATGTGTGTAAAAAACTGGATGCACAGCTTATGGAAGCGTAAAATACGTATAACTAAATAAAACTTTACGAACGCCATAATTGCATATGTTTAAGTATATATATGTACTCGTATGTATGCATTGATGTTAGGAAGATTTAAAATTATTGCAAAAAATAAAAAAAATCGTATTAGGAATATTTTATATACATATATGCATTGTATATGTAAAAGTGCAAATACTTTTAGAAATATTTCATTTGTTTTAATCATGGCTGACAGAAATACATACATACAGATCTGGATCTAAGAGAGAGTGACAGTTCACAGCTGACGAATTTACACATATTCTTATGGAAGCTGTAAAATCTAATCCTCTTTTTAACATCATAAATTTTCTACAAAATCAACTTTTTTCAAATTTGTAACTTGGAAAAGTTAGAATTCAACCTTTTTCTACTTTACTAGTGCTTACATTCTTACAGCTTTACTACAAGAAAAAAAAAACAAGTAAAAACGTTTCAGTCGGTATAAACCGATTGAATTATACCCTGCACCTTTCGTTATTGTGTAGCAATTACCTGTGAAATCATTCTATAGAAACTTCACGGACTCACCTATAATTGGATATAATCGGACACAAATGCGAAGTTTCATGAATCTGACTTTATTATTTTTTCAAATATTAAGAATAAGCTTTTAGACTTATATGGGATCTACTCGAACCTGTTAAGCAATTCCACCAAAACTTCAAAAATATATGTGACCTATAACTCGACATACAACTGCCAAGTTTCATGAATCTGACTTTATTATTTTTCCAAATATTTAAAATTAGCTTCTGGAGTTGTATGGCAGGTACCCGAACCTGTCAAGCAATTCCTCTAAAACTTCAGAAATATATTTGGCCCATAATTGGACACATAACTGCCAAGTTTCATGAATCTGACTTTATTATTTTGCCGAATATAAAAAATTTGCTGTTGGAGTTGTATGGCAGCCAGCCGAAACGGTGCAGCTACCCCATTATAATTTTTAGAGCACGTGTAGAATATAATTGGACAAACTTCAGAAATATATTTGGTCTATAATTGGACACATAACTGCCAAGTTTCATGAATCTGACTTTATTATTTTGCCGAATATAAAAAATTTGCTGTTGGAGTTGTATGGCAGCCAGCCGAACCAGTGCAGCTACCCCATTATAATTTTTAGAGCACGTGTAGAATATAATTGGACACATGTATACAAAATTTTATATCTATAGCTTTATTAGTTTTTGAAATATTTAAAATAAACTCTTTGCGTTGTATGGCAACTACCCGAACCCGTTGTCCGAATTAGTCTAATAACAATAGGGTTCGTCCTTGGCACAAAAGAAAAAACTTGTGAAAGTTTGGTGTTGATTGCATTATTCGTTTTTGAGTTATCGTGCGATCGGACGGACGGACGGACGGACATGTCTAAATCAATGCAGAATTTTACGCTGAGCAAGAATATATATATATGTCCATACCGCAGATGACTCCTTCAAGTAGTTACAAACTCCATACCAAAGTTAATATACCCTTATGCAGGGTATAAATAGTGCATTTTTTTTTCGAAGTATTTAGTTTATTTTGGTGTATTTTTTCAAGTTTGAGAAAATGCACATTTGATATTAACGAGTTTACTAATTTTGTATGATATGTCTCTTAAAATAATACTTCTGATATAATCATATATACATAAGTATCTATATATTTTTCATTTACATACTATATTAATTAAATTTATATGCTTCATAATTCATAAAAATTATTGCATACATAAGTGAATTCTTTTTACATTAAAACTCCATATAATTCTTTTTAGGTATGTATGTATGTGATTTTAGTTTTATTGGGAAATATTTTCACATTGTTAGTAAAGCTAATTCATTGATTTGACCTAAACTACCGCAACAGTAACTTTAAAACTTATACAAATTTCTTTATAATATTTTTATTGTTTGTTTTTATATAGGGGACAACTTGAAACGACTCATTTTTTATAACGATTATAAAATTTTAAAAAGCTCTATAATAAGTATAAAACTTAAAATCAAAAACTTACATACAAAGTTAAATTCTAAATTAAAATTTAATAAAATTTTTATTAATTTTATTTTAAGGCGTGCATTCTACACTAAAAAATATAGCACCAATTTTTTTTTATTCAGTGAATTATCATTTCTTACTCTCATTATCTCAGACATGTTGCCTGACATGGCGATACAAAAAAATGCGGGAAAAACTCGAAAATGTATTTAATCAAAATTTTAGTTAATATTTTGAGTTGAATTTTTGATTTGTTGTTCAGAAAACTCCAAATTTCATTTTAATATAAAAATTTTTAGGTTTTAGTCAAATTTTTGTATAGAAAACTCGAGATAAAAATAGGTAAAAATCATCATTTTTCCAAAAAAAACAACAAGAAAAATAGATTCTTCAGAAATATAATTTCGCCAAAAATTCATATGCATTTTAACAAATACGTACACAAAAAAATCAGGATCCAGGCCTTAATTTTTTGTAATCTCAAGCTTTACTACACGGATAGCCGGCGCTCGTATTTGAGCTTAATATATCTTATCATTCTTAATAAAAAAATGAAGCCAACATAAAGTATACTCCAATACGAGTATACCGCAGTATACCTTGACGTCAAATTAACAATGTCAAATTTTATGTTTTAGCAAAATTTAGCGTTACCATAGTGTCTTGTTTTCAATGCAACCCTATTATAGTCTATTTGAAGTTATAATTTGAATTTTCGTTTTAGTAAAGTGAAAAATATTTAAATTTAGATTTTGGTTTACCAATATTACGAAGAAAAAATTATTATTTTCATTAAAAATTAAATTTTATTTTGTGGTAAAACCATGAAGTTAGATTTATCAGTAAAGCAATTTTTTAAAAATATTAATTTTATTAAGAAGAAATATATATACATATATGTATATATTTTTGAATTGTGGACATAAATTTAAATATAATAGAACATTTTTTTAAATTCTATTTTACATTGCAATTCAAATATTTTGCTTTAACACATCTAAAATTGTCTATTATTGCAGGTACATTAAAATTCTCGTTTTAAAACTTTAGCTCTTAATAGATATAGTATACAAGTATTTTTAAAATATACTAGAAAATGTCATTATTTGCATTTGTTTATGAAAATGTCATTTGCATTGTTACAACGAAGAATATTTGTAGTACAAAAAAAACTTAATTTCTAGAGCCTTAGAAGCATTGATTCAGATTTTTTCGAAAATTATGTTTTATTGTTTTATTTTCTAAAACTGGAATAGTCTAACAAAAGTCCCCTTATACCAAGTTTCAACCATCAAATGTTTAATTAAATAGTTCACTAACAATTCAACGTATTGAAAGACCAAGTTGAATAGTGAATGGTCTGGTTAATAAATATTAATAATATTAAATATTGATTGTAAAATCGAAGTAAAAGTCAAGCAATCAAATGTTATGAAAATACATAACCTAAATTTAAAAAGAAAAAATTAAAAAATATGTCAAAAAATAGAACTGATTTAATCAACTTTAACTATTTAACTTTAACTAATAATTAAGATTAAAGCGTTAACTGAAAGATTTTAATTTTTAAGATGCACGATTTTTACTAGAAAATATTCATACATTTAGAATAAACTGTACCATTAAATTGTCGTTTACCTTTTTCATTTTTTATAACTGGTGATTTAAAAAACTACGCTACTTTAGATATAACATAAAATCACAAAATTTCGATTGTATATTTACAGCCTGATTGGGTTTCTCGTTTTTTTACTCACTTATTATTCACTTTCAAATCAGAATTCTCAGTATTTTCTAATGAATATTTTACTTTTCCAGTAAGATTGCTAATTTATCAATTGGTTTTTGCGTTTTTTCTCAACTTATCGACTGAACGTCTTACACTTTCAAAAACAAAGTGAATAAATTTTGTATGCATTTTAGAAAAAAACGAAATACGCAATACCAAATAATTCCTCTCAATCGAAAATTACATTATACAAGTATATAATAGTACTCACTTTCTTTTCACTTTCCGAGTAAAATAACGAGAAATACGATCAGGTCCTTAATCTATAATAAAATCTGATAAGTATTTACAAATTCGATTTTATTTATACTTTGATTCAAAATTCTGACGGCAATATTTTTATGTTCGTAATCTATAAACTGGCTACAAAAATTTAAAAAAAAGACAAAAATCTGCTGATCATGGCAAAACTTTTTTAAAAATTTATTTTCTGCTATGTTATTTTTAAAAATCTGACAGAAAATCCGATGGTAATCGGCTGATTTTCTATTTTTTTCATCGAACTTTATTTTATGTTAGACTTCGATTTGACATCAGATTTCCATCAGATCCAAATTGAATCATATATTAAATCTGATATGTAAAAGACATCCTTGGCTTCATCGTGTTTTTTGTTTAATACACGAATTTTTATACACGAGGGCGAATTAGATAGAAAGAAAAATATAATATTTATTGAAAACGTAATTATACTCCGATTAAAGTTTTCCTGCAACACCAATATAAGGGGTCTATCCGAAAAAGAAGTTTTACGGTGTAAAGGTACATACCAAGTTATAAGTACAAGAGCTTTTTATTGCGCTCTGTAAAAGTTAAAGTGTTTCAATATAAATTATATTTTTAATTTAAAATATATACATAGATATATGTACTTTTTTAATATGAAAATATTTTATTAAAGAGTGTTATATTATTAAGATTCCAACGATATAGCATTAAAATTTCCACAAAATTATTTTACGAAGATCGAAAACGAAGGTTAGCGTATAAGCATAAACGTCAAATTGAAACATCAAAAACAAACACAGATTTACCAATAATTCAAAGTTTTAATACATAATTATGATTATATTATGAAATGTTTATACAACTAAGAAAAAGTGAAATTATGAGTAAATATAAATTTATTTAGCCTTTAATAATTAGAAAAAAGCGTAATAAACGACTACAAAAGTTATTTACAAAATAAAAGAGAATTGTATACGGGTACTTATTTTGTACACCAGCTAGATGGATACTAAATTTTGCTGACATCATATTAGAAAATCTGTAAATAATATTTTTAATTAAGTTTACTGTTTCGACTAAATTTAAATAAAAAAATTTATTTGATGTAAAGTATAAAATATGTATGTAAGTAGTTCGGCACAATAAAAATTTTCATAAAAAAATTTAATTGAAAAAACATTTTAATTACGTTATGTAGGTAGGTTTATTTTTATTTATGTATATTATTACGATGTACCTGATACATGCATATAAGCATGTACATTATGTATGTATGGATGGATGGATGTAATATAAATCTTTGGCTGTTTGAAATAAAAGCAAATTATGTAGCTAAAATGTGAAAAATTTTTTTTTAAATTCTCAAATAAAATAAAATATACATATTGTTGCAAATATTTTACTGAACGAGCTAATTTTAATATGTAAAGTTTCTAAAACAGTTACCATCGTTGAAAATAAGCCTTTCACTGAAAATTTTGTGAAAAACATACATTATGGCTGAAACTAAAAATTTAAATTTAAATGATGTCAATCACATAATTGATATTTTAATCCATTACAAACAAGAAATTGAAATGAAGATGAATATGAGTCAAGACGCATTGTTACAAACAAGAAATTGAAATGAAGATGAATATGAGTCAAGACGCATTGTTAGTTGAATTTTTAAAAAAGCTATTGGAACAAAAGGAAGAAAAAAAATTAACAATTTCACATAACATTAGTATAATCATACAAGATCTAGAGCTTGCTCAAAAAAATACTAAAAAATGAAAATCATTATAAAACGAAAACTCTTTTAACATCTATTGATTCTACCGAATCTTCGATTTTAGAAACCGGTAATGCAGAACAGATTTTCGAAATTGAAAACACATTTTGAAGATTTTACTTCAAAATATTTTGAAATGCATTCACCTAATGCTGTATCAAATATAGATACGAAAAATTCAAAGTTAGACGATACTTTGAAAATAATTAAGTATAAAAAATTTGATTTAAGTTCTTTCCGGGATATTTTATCACAGTGTTGTCGATATTCATCATGTAAATGTAAAGCTACAATAAGTTCTGTATCAGAAGAATATATGCCTTCAAGTATTATCAGTTCAATCGTATTTGATAAAGAAAATTCCCATTTTGCCATTGGAGGAGTCACTAAAAAAATAAAAATATATGACTTTAATTTAATAGATTTCAACATAAATGCTTTTCAATATCCTTTAATACAAATTACTTTATCGACCAAATTTCTTCTTTATCATGGAATTTTACGCATCGAAATATTTGGAATGTTGATACTTGTATTCGTACGAGATGTTTTAATGAGCGTTCAAAATGCTGTTGGAGTATAGACTTTAATGAAAATGACGCAAATTTAATAGTTTATGATTCTGATGACAGGCACAAGGTAAAATTATGGTCGATAAAAGAAAATAACTCAATTGCCACATTAGAAGCTAAAGCCAATATATGTTGCGTGAAATTTAATCCCAAAAAAATCCATATCATTTAGCATTTGGATCAGCTGACTTTCATATACATTATTATGATGTAAGAAATATGAAAAATTTGTTATGTATGTTTAGAGGGCACAAAAAAGCGGTGTCGTACGTAAGATTTTTAAATTCAAGTGAAATAATTTCAGCCAGCACTGACAGTCAACTTAAATTTTGGAATACAAATGTTCCCGATACTTGATTAAGATCATTTAAAGGTCATTTAAACAAAAAAAACTTTGTTAGTCTAACCATTGGCGGACACTATATAGTTTCCGGAATTAAAGACAGTTCTTTATACGTATACTATAAAGGATTACCAAAGCATCTTTTTAATTATAAAATTGATATTAGTGAAAAAACAAAAAGGAAAAGAAAACATGAATGACTTATGTAAATGAATTTGTTTCTGCAGTTTGCTGGAAAAAGATTCTGAAACTCTTATAGCAGCCAATAGCAAAAGAATAATTAAAGTCTTAGAAATTATATAAAATCTTTTTTGTATAATTTCTAAGACTTATAAAACTAAAATTGAGTTATATGTCTAAAATTTTTATTTAAACATTCAGTTAAGAAAACATTCAGTTTTTGGTTTATTGCATAAGAAAACTAGAAGTAAGCCACATTAATATTTTATTTAAGAAGTATATAAAGTACCTAATTATCTATCAATTGCAATTTTTCTATTTATTTTCAAATGGATAACATTAAAAATCTTTTTAAATTTACTTTCCTTGTTACATACGCTATTTTTTATGCCTAAAACGATGTGACATTCGAACATTATATTTCGAAGAAAGTACACATTTATATTTAATGCAAAAGAGTCACAATCCATTTTTAAAAACTAATATAGTTTCCATTCGATTACAATTTTTATTTTAATAAACAAACTAAATAAAAAAAATCATGTAAATTGAATTAATGTAATAAAAGCATGGGAATTAAGAAGTTTTGAATAAGATCAAGGTAATCATTTTAAACTTTGAAAACAAGCAGATTTTAAAAACTTGAACACATCAAATTCTTAAATGCATTCGTTCAGCATTCGTTTGAGTTTCAAGTGAAAGAATTTATATAAAATACATGCATATATACATACATATGTATGTATAAAAAATAATTTTTTTAAGCATATTTATCTAATCAAATGTAGAAGGAGATTAATGTGTTTTATAGACTTTTGTTGTTAAATAACACTTTTCTTCAAAAAATTTTTTTCAATGGTTGTTAATTTTTCCGAAATATAATTCTTTTTTTTTTTTTATTAGTATGAAAAGAAAACTTCCTTTTATTTGGAATAAAATACTTTTTTTATTTTTTTGCTAATATATTTCGTGCGCTACATACGCACTTTATCAAAGCTGATTTTCTTCTCGAAGTAAATCTAAAGCAAAGTATATCTACTAATAAGTAATTCGACTCGTTCCATTCCGTTAGTTTTCATTAAATAAACGAGTGTATCAAAAACATTGAAATAAAATAAAATAAAATAAAATTAAGTTAGGTAAAAATTTTGTTATTTTTATTTTGATAATAACAAAATTTATTTTTCATTTTATAAAATTTAGGTAAAAAATTCGAATGTATGAAGGCAAAAGAAATTGAAATTTCATGTATGAATGTACACATGCATGTACGTGGTACAGTAGATTCACAGTATCAGGTAGTGACATAGAAGTAAAGTAATTTATAAAGAAAAAAGGTGTATGCATACTGATCACTTTATGAAATATAATCATTGCCGATTCATAGGAAATATATTCTAAATTTATTAAGATTGAAATGAAAATAAAAAATTTAAAAATAATTTATTTATTTTATTTATTAATAATAATTATTAATTACAAATGCTTAACACTAAAAATTTAAAATATTTTCAAAAGTACATATTTACCTCTCCATATCTTAAAGCAACAAATGATATTTTCGTGTCGGCTTTTTTGCCAAACACTTCTCCTTAATGTTCACCCATTATTATAAAAATTTTTTTTTTTTCACAACTACTTAAATTTTTTTTTAATATTATACGTCTTTTTAAAATTTATTTTTATTATTTTTCATATAAATTATAATAATTTTTTTTAAACACTTCTTTTCTGCTTCGCTTTTATAATATGAATACACATTTTTTGCCACCTTGTACTGGAATGAATTACAGAAATTATTGTGTCGCTTTTAAAATTCTTAATATTTTTCCCTATACTTTATATAGGAACAAATAATAAAGTGTCGCCTTTCAAAATTACATTAAAAAAAACAGGTTGATATCTATTGCGTACTCTTTCCCTTTCCCAAAAATTCTTATGTGTATAAAAATGAAAATAAGAAGGTATACTGCTTAACTCTTTTAACTAAGGGAATTTTTTTATACAAATATTGGTGAGTGATTGCATTAGTGTGATGTAAACGGAGAGTCGAACTACTTGTTAGTAGATATAATTTGATCTAAAGTGCGTATGTAGCGCACGAAATATACTTATGAGCAAAAAAATAAAAAAAAGTATTTTATTCCGAATAAAAGGAAGTTTTCTTTTCATACCAATAAAAAAAAAAAAAACACTTTTCTTTTTTTCTTTACCTCAGTTGTAAAATTAATTCCTAAAGTATTAACAATATCCAACAAAAAAGAAATGGAGAAATTAAAAAAACTTGAGTATGTTCCAGAGAGTCAACGGCGTTATCGTACAAAGGATTTAAATAAAAAACAAGCTCAAGATTTCAATTTTCGACGATTATGGCGACACGCAGATATAAACGAAAAAATCACAGATCACCGAGAGACTGAGAGAAAAATTGCACTATCTCAATTAAATCTGCAAAATGATAAGGGATCGAAACGTTTTAAAGTAAAAAACGAGCAATCAAATTATTCTTTGCGTAAAAAACGAACAGCAAAACAGAACAAAAACCGGAAGATGAAAACAATAACTAAAAATAAAAAACTCAAAATATTAAGCAAATCGATATCTGTAAAAAAAATACCAGTAAGTTTAAAAATTTTATATATTTGTGTTGAATTTACTAAATATTTTACAGAAATGCAAATTATAAATAACAGATTTAATTCAGTTAAAATACAATTAATCAATATTACTTTTCTTTATAGATAAAGCAAGTTTCTTATATGAAACAAGGACAAAATTTTCGGGATGACAGGTCGTCATCACAGATCTTAAAAATAAAATCGTCATTAGGAGTGTGTCAATCAGAAAGTAAGTAGAAGTTCAAATCTCATCATTTCCCAGCAACATGTTAGAAATCTTCAAAATTCAAATGAATACTTTTATATTGGTTTAGCAAATGAAAATTATGAAAGCGAATCCATTGAAAAAGCATATCACGAATTTCTCACAACAAAAATGTATTTAGGTAAAGATTATAGGAGGCATCATATAATAGATTATTTAAAAGAAACTGTACCTAGCTTAATAAATAAGGAATACTTCGAGGAAGAGGTATATAATACAACATTTATAAAATACTATTCATTTCATAGCTATATTCTTATCTTTCTAACAATTTCAAATTTTAAACAACCTTGAGAACTGTAAAGGTTCAAATTTTTGAAGATGAAAGCAATATTAAACTTGGTTTAACTGAAAGGCTCAATATACTACAAAAATCACAACAAAAATGTTTGTGCGCCAAAAATTTAGCAAAAAGTTTTAATTGTGACATTGAAGATATTCACAAAACACTAAAAAGGCATATAAAATATGTGAAGGAATGGGAAGATATTAAATTATATTCCCCACATTCCTCATTTTCAATAAAAGATTTAGATACAATATTGTATTTATGGACTTCCGAATGCACAATTCAAAATTATCCTATAACAAAAAATTCAATAAAGCATTCAGCTCATCCTATTGCAAAAGTGTTGGATCTTGAAATGTTTAAAGCTTCAGATTGTTGGTTAGATTATTTTGTAAGTAAGTACGGTATACATTTGAAAAATGAAAGCCAAGAAGTCTTAGAATTAGCTGCGGAAGCTATACGCACAGTGAAGATATCAGATGTAATAAAAAAGTACTCACAAACTTTATCACAGTCTATCCAAGAAAAATTTCTTTCAAATAATAATAAACCTTATACCTACAAAAAAAAAATGAAAGTTTATGATACAACCAATAAAATGTGTATTAAAATTAAAGGAAACAATAAAACTATCTCTGAGCAAGCAGAAATTCCTGAAAAATTAGAAGTAAACCATTTAAACAATAACTCAATACCCCCAAAAAATAATATAGATATAAAACAAGAACCAGTTGTTAAAAATTCCCAAACAGAAATTTTACCAAAGCTAAAGTCAACTTGTATCAATGAAATACATCTGATTTCTTCCGAAAAATGCAGTATTAATTCAATTTTGAAACAAAATCTAAATTCTGTTAGTAACATAAATATTAAAACTGAAAACTATTATTCACCTGAAACATGGACAACACCAAATATTGCCATCGAAAGCTACGAGCAGGCTTTGAAATATTTAAAACCACTTGAAGAGTTTGTAATGTTAAAATCAAATTTTAGAGCGATAAATTATCTTAACTGTTTACAAAACGTTTTAAAAGAATTAAATAAATGTTAAATTATAAAAATAATTTTTAATAATTTTACACGATCACGCTTTAAAGATTTATTTAAATAAAAGTAGTAACATAACAAATGTAAATGTTACTAAATGTTACTTAAAATTGTGATCCTTTAAAACCACTAATGCAGTTTTAAATAAACTTATAAATAATGTTTGTATTTAGTGTACATTTTCATTATGTTTATTGGAGTGAAATCGGCAGTTAACCAATAAATTAGAAATATTAAAGGAAATAACATCCTTTTTTCTATCTCATTTACACTCCTCAAATATCATATATATTATAAAAAAAACAAGGAAGCCAAAAGTCTTAAGTAACAACTCTTTCTCATTGCGAGCATTATGAAATTTAAATTGATATTTTCATGCCAATGTTTCTTTTTCTGAGAAAACTAAGCAACGCTGGTACAAAAAGTGAACAAACAAACTTTTGTGATTTTTTTTAATTAGTTTAATTCCTGCTAAGTATAAGTCCACCGCATTAAAAAAAATTTCTGAACTGGTTCAATCGGTTCAACTTTGATATAGATCCTATGTTTTTCCTCAATTTATTTTCTATTGAAATTATTTTTTAGTTTGAAAAAACTATTTTTTAATTTTTTATATTTATTTTGAAAAATTATATTTTTTTTTATTTTTATTTTCGTATATTATAAAAGAAATGAACAATATTAAAGGAATTTAATTGCTCCTTCTCAGGCTCTTCTAACTAATATTCAATTTTAGCAGATTTAACAGCTTTTACTGGTCGAATATATTTTGTATTAATTCTAAGTTAGCACGGATTATTTAAAATACCCAATATTTTCTTAGATTACAAGCATGTTTTCAGTTAAGCAAAATATGGTTAGAGTTTGGTGAATTTACCCTATAAAATTTATTTTGATTTTTTTTCGTAATTTAATTTAGCACCCTTTTAAATGGCAATGAGGAAGGTCTGTGTCGATTGACTTTTTATAAATTTTAGGAAATATACATATTTTTAATAGAAATTATTTTGAATGCAAACTTCCTTTTTTTTGCGATTTTTTTTGCAAACATAAAAATAAACCTCCAAAATTTGTTTATATAAAAACATTTTTAGGTATTTTTAGGTGTAAATGATTTAAAACATAAAAGAACGGTGATTTTTTTCTTCAAATAAAATTTTTAAAAAACCATTTTTTCAAGAATTGTCCTCTCTACTTGGTGGCTTTATACCTACCAAAGCAGTGGATCAGTTATAATATATTGAAAAAAAGTGATAAAAAAAGACTACAATTACTTTATTGAAACTTATAAAAAAAATACAACATATGGAAAAAAAGAAAATTTTTTAGAAAAAGAAAAAGGTGCGTAGTTCCAAATTTTTATTTCAATTAGGAAAAACAAATAGATATTTTGCACTTTACGTACAGTAAAAATTTTTGGAAAAAAAATAAAAGGAAATGATGATTTTTGTTCGAACTGTTGTAAACAACATATGAATATATAAATTATGCACGGGACTCGATGGTACTCCGAAGAAGGGATAAAATTCCTCCAGACGAACAAACACACCAACAACCCTGTCAGGAATTTCTGAAATTCGAAAAACTACGAATGTGATATTTTCAATTACTAAAATTCTTCTCCAAGTGAAATTTTGCTTTCCAAGCTCCATTTTTGATATACGCAGAATCGCAAGAATGACTTGGTTTAGGGTAAATTTGTGTAGAACCCTATTCTTCCATATTCTACTTTATTCTTAACTTTTTAAAATACATACATATTTGATAGTGGAATAAAGTTGGGCATATTTACATACATATTACATTTAGAAAAACAGTTACATGTTAATAATGCATACTGAGTAATATAGCTGAAAAAATTTTGTTTTTTCTTTAAAAATATGTACTTTGTTGTAGTGATTGTTTTTATGCATTGAATCTTGAATTTTTGTCTAAGCGTCTAAAAAAGATCTTGCTCGAGTTATTAAACCTCAATCATTACCAATTGTTCTTTTTTGTTTACTTGAATGCACCCTTTCATTCCACAATTGAAGATGAAATCAATGTATAATTATGTTATTATCCTGTTTTTTAATGCTTTAAAACTCCGAATCCTCTTACATTTATATTTATTTTCCCACAAAATTATTATTGCATTTTGTGTGAAAATCTTACTCTTGAAAATCTGTATGCAGAAATTGTTGAATCGACTAAAATAAAATAGGCTTAATTGTAGGTAGGTTTTACGGACTATATATGAATATATATGAATATAATGGATAAAAAATAATGCATATAAATTATATATTATCTATATTTATGACAGTAAAAATTTTTTTCCATATAGTTGAGCTTTTTTTTCAAACATTTGAGATTTAATTGCGGTATTTATTTTATAAAAGGAATTCATAGAATGTTTAATATAAGTTTCATATATTTCATTAAAGAAATTTTTTATTCCTTCATCATTTCGAGTATCATGCACAATCAAAAATCGTATTCTACTTGCCGTTACAAAAGCAGACACAAACCATTGATTAAATTTATCTATTGATTTTAGATAAGTGCTATTAGTTTTCCATTTATGTTCATCAACAAGATCCAAAGCAGCATGAGCTATAAATTGACTTAAGTGTCTGTGATCTTCTTTCTACAAATAAAAAACCAATTCGGAATATATTGACTTTTTAAATAATTTTAAAAAACCTTTATTTCCTTATTGATTGTTGTAAATTCCATTTCGAAAATGGGGTTGTCATTATGTCCAACTATAACAAAGTAGTAAGACATTCTTATTTTTATGCCGATACAAAAATAAAGATTTTATTAATTAGTTGTTTTAAATTTTATAATTGTATATTAGTTTTGAATTGTTTATTTTTTCTTGCTATTAGCATAAGAAAACCTATTTTTGTGTTGTTGCAAATGTCAAAAATTTTTCCTGTGTCACATAGCATAATAATTCAATAACGCTATTAAAAATTCAGGGCTGCCAGTTTGATAATTATCTACCAAAAGTGGTAACTTTATTTACATATTTTGATTCAATTTCTTATTTTGATAACTTGACGCATACCATATATATTATTTTCAATTTGGTAACTTTCTTATTCCTAATATCAGAAACTATTTACATAGACTTAGAAATTAATACAAAAAAACGTAAATATTTTCTAATTTTCAGCTTTTTAAATTGTACTTTTTAGTTTTTTGGATGGGAAATTTTTACTTTCCAGTTTTTAAGAAAAATATACTGGCAATTAAAAAATATATGAAAATATACAAGTGGGTTCAAAAACCAAATATTAAAATTTTTTTCCATACAGTCGAGCTTTTTTTCAAACATTTGAGATTTAATTGGGGTATTTATTTTATAAAAGGAATTCATAGAATGTTTAATATAAGTTTCATATATTTCATTAAAGAAATTTTTTATTTCTTCATCATTTCGAGTATCATGCACAATCAAAAATCGTATTCTAATTGCCGTTACAAAAGCAGACATAAACCATTGATTAAACTTATCTATTAATTCAGTTCATAATATTCAATTTTCAACATATTTTTTCAAAAGAACACTATTAAACGGCTGTATATATTAACGCAGCCAGTACTATTAAAAGTACTGGCTGCGTTAATATGTACACATTGTGTCAAAGATCTATGTACAATAAGATATTTGTTTTTATGAAAAAAATAAATTATTTATAAATCGAAAAGATTTCTTATCAAAACTATCTAACAAAGTTAATAAGATTTGTTCAAACTTTAAATGGTTTGTAAAGTATCAATTTTCCAAGTGAGAATACTACTTTTAAAAAAAATTAGAGGCTTTAACATAATGCTCGAATTCAAGGGTTGATTGCGTCATTTATTGTTAACTTTCATTCATAGGAATTTGAAAAAAACATGCAGTTTCTGAAATATATTCTGCCAAAAATGCAACTTTTACAAATTTGTAGGGACAAAAACTTGCATAGAGGTGAAGTTGGAAAAATTTTTTTATTAGTATCTAAAAGCTAGAAAAGTTTCAGCCTTCTACAACCTATTTTATAGAAGAAAACGGATATCAAAAACTTAAAAGAAAAGTTCTTTGTAGGTCAAGCTTTTCTTTTATAATAAATTTTCTTAAAGCAATTTTCACCATAGAATGGTTTTCTGTTTTATACAAAGTGCCTTGTATAAAAAAAGAAGTCTTGTATGTAAAATATCGGGCTTAGTTGTAAAGGAAAAATAGAAATGAACATTGCAACAAATCAAATAACATACATTATACATACTAAATACACTAATTGTTAAATTATTACGCCAGCAATAATCTATATTTCCTTTTGCCTTTAATGGGATTTTTTATTTACCAACTTTCTATACAAGAAATTACACCTTTTTAGCACGAAATGTTTTGAGAGCTCATTATTTTAGTTCTTAAAAAAATATTATAAATATGAACGAAATTCAAAACTGAAATAAAACTAATCTTAATCCATAACAAACGTTTTACTTGTTCAAAATAATTAGTAATCATATTTTATCATAACTTAATTATTATAAATTTCTAAATATAAGAAACTTAGCCAATATCATTGCAATCTCAGCAATTAACTAATTGAGTATTTTCAAGCATATGGCAATGTTAATTAATCTCAATGAATATAATTACGTATACATGAACGTCAATCAAATTTTGACATTTAATAAAGGATCTTGATTCTTGATACTTTATTTATTATTCCAAACACAGTACAAGTTGTTTGAGTTTGGAATTGCTTTAATATAAATTTTGTAAAATAAACAAATAAAGTATTATAATTCTTACAAAGTTTATAAAAATGACAAATATGATGGATCAATTGAATTCAGCTTTATTAGCAATTAAACAACTCCGATCTAATGTTGGTATTGTTTTTGAAACCCTGTCCAATGGTGCCAAAGGAGAAAAGCCGGAGGATAATAAAGAGTTTTTAATAGAATTTCAAGAATTATTTAATACTGTAAATTTAAATTTAAGAGAAGTTGAATCAACAATAAATGGATTAACTATACCACAAGGACCATTTAATTTAGGAAATTCTCAATATTTAGCTCAAGAAACAACGCTAGAGCGGCAGGCGCTCTATCCGCAATTAATAAATAGCTATAAATGGATTGATAAAATACATGACTATAGTTTGTCCGCTAACATAATTTTAAATTCGAATTCATTAAGGCGTTCATATACCTCATCATCAAAAACTCGTGGTGGTAGGATACAAATTTCGTCATGTAACAATGCGTCACCCTCTCATTTAGACAAAATTATTAATGAAAATATGAATTTGATTCACACAAACTATAGGATATTTCGGCCTTTTGGCTCAAATGCTATTGTAATGCTCCATATAGGTAGAGTATTAAAAGCCGCTATAGTTTTTAAAGGAGTTTTAATTGAATGGGTCACAGTGAAAGGTTACGATGAAAACTTAGAAGTTGAGGATCTATGGACTGAATCTAGATATGAAGTTTTTCGTAAAGTGCAGGATCAAACACATTCTGCCATGCTTCATTTTTTTTCACCAACTTTACCGGAATTAGCAGTAAAAAGTTTCATAACATGGATTCACAGTTATAATAAACTGTTTGCCGAGCCATGTCGAAAATGCGGAAAGCATTTAAATAATGCCTTACCCCCTACATGGCGTGACATAAGAACTTTGGAACCATTTCATGAGGAATGTAGAAATTGTTAAACTATGCTATGTTATATGTATACATACATACTAAAATCTATATACATACGTAACAAATTGAAATCAAAAATTTGATATGCATATGTACATGAATATTTTAATACTTGATATTGCAACCAAATCAATTTTGTTTAAGTTATTGACTTTTGAGAAAAGCCAATATATGTATGTCGAAGGCTCTCCATGATTTATAATAAACGATATTTACATTTTTATAAAAAAACCAGTTGTAAATTTTATTTAAAATATTTAGACAATTTACAATATATTGTATAATATTAATTACATATACCAAAAAGTCTAACAAACTAAAATTAAACCTATTTTTATAAAAAATATTTCAAACAATCCATTATAATTTGTCAAGGTTATTTGCAAGTTTTTAATGCATTTTTATTTATGAATACGTTTATTTTTTTTTAATAATTCCACGAGCATATATGTATCTTGCCGTCAAATGTCAAATAAATTTGGTTTTTATATTTTTTGTTTAAAAAAACATCCATTTAAACTTGTACTATATTTAAATATTATTTATTATTTTGAATTTTTTAAGACTAAAATAAGTCTCTATAGTACCATTACGAAAATGGTAAAAATAAATTATTTTTTTAAGTAGGTATGTTCCTACATACCATAACTTCAAAACAATTTATTATATTTGAATTTGCAGATATAACCTTTAAATAACTTTGGCAAATCATTAAAACGCATAAACAGAATTTACTTCTATAAGTTTTAAAAAAGTATTTGAATTATTCAATTACTTTAAGAAAAAAATGAATAATTAGCAGGTTTAAAAAGCTTCTTGATCATCAGTTTCTTCTGCTTCTTTGTTAAAAATGTTATCGCCAGGTGTATTAAGATTTTTCCGCTCAAATACTAGAACGTAATTCCCAACTCGTTCATCTGCATACTAAAATTTATATTTCAAAATAAATGTATTGTATATTGAAACAAAAATATTTAAAATATTTCTTACATCTGTGTGGTGTATCCGATCTATTAAATAATAATTAGTCAAAAAATCAGATATTTTTGATTCAAGAGAATCAAACAAAACTACATGTGTTGGCATTGCCGTTTTAGGATAAGACGGAATATGAGATCTCAACCAGCGGTCTGGTGCTCTATAAAATAGCTCCGCTTCGTCTATATAATTTTGCTTCATGTGTATATTTGGATTACAAGTTAAAAACCGAAGTGTCACATTTTGATGTATATGACTGTAGTAAGGTGTTGAATGACATGGCATTAAAAATAATATATTTGCACGCGAGTTGACTTCATCAGTATATACTTTAGAAATTTCTGCCAAAAACGGCATAACTTCAAGAGTTCCTCTTTGGTGTACTAAACTTAAATAATAATTTGGAATAGCATTCCCAATTAAAAGTATAATAGCTACAACCCATACCGCCCACCTAAAATATAAACAATTTTACATAAAAAAAAAATAATCAAATTAATGAAATTTTTACTTTGATGCTTTGTAACTCCATCTCACTAATGTGTCAACCGATATATACAAGCACAATGGCAGTAAAATTAAAATAAATCGAAATTCTTTGTGCTGAAATATACTATACGTAATCAAAGTAATAAATATTGTTATTAGTAGTTGCTTTCTGATGATATACATTTCTTTATTTCTAATGGTTTGTATAACCCCAATAAGAAATGGTAAATAGTTTACGCCTAAAATACTGGGAAGTCCTGTTAAAAAATACCAGTGCCAAGGATGAGTTCCATAAAAACTTCCAATTCCAAGTAAATAATTAAATTTTATGAATTCCCATGGCGTTAATATTAATTTTCCGTAAAAATAACTGTCTATTGCGATTCCAATGCTAAAAATTATTAAACCAATGGGCACAAACCTTTTTAAAATCAATTCAGTTTTAGATAACTTTGTTGAAAGTAAGTGGTTCAAACATAACGGTAACCACACTATTGCGGCAGTTGGTCTTATATAGCAACAAGTTCCAACAAACCATAAATAGGAGGTTTTATCTAAAATGAATCAAAGCAAAATTATGAAATAAGAATTTTTTTAAGATGTTTTCTACTTGCCTCGTTTATCCCACGGAAAATAGCTTAACGCTATAGTAGATAACGCAGTTTCAAATGTGTTTGCTAATGTCCTCGAACCGCAATAGAACCAGAAAAACGTTATAAGTAAAAGAAATATTGACCATTTTTTTTTACCAGTCCAAATATAAAAGCGGTAGTCGGCATAACTTGACAATAGCGCTTGCAAAAATCTGGGAGATATAACCTTTAAAGAAAAAGAAGTTAAAAATATTTAATTTTTGTTAATATGTATTACTTCATATTACAAGATATTCCACCAAATCCAAGTGAATTAATGCTAAAATTTTATACAATCCGGCTATTATAACAGGATATATATAACTTCTAATTCCCTCAAGCCATTCCCATGTTAAATATCCATACCTTAAAAAATTATTTAATTCATTTGTATTCGAAAATATAAATTTAAAGTTATATCATAATCTTATTTACCCAAATACAAGCTTATGAGCTACTTCTAAACTCTGCCAATATTCATCAGGAACATAAAATGTTTTGACAATGAAAACCGAAGCAACGCGCACAGTTAAAAATAATAGAAAGGTAAGCACTGGATTCATTTCTTATTGAAGCATACGAAAACTAAATTAATTTTTTTATGTTTAAAGTTTTTTTTCATCAGATAATTGGTGTTAAATATATTTAATACTTCAGGTTAATATGATTTACGGCTAAATACCTTTAAATTTATAAAATTTTTATTTAAAAACCCTGAATTTATTTACAAAAAAAAATAGCTTTGATAATCAACATTAACCTCTCCATAAATAGGTTTTCACTTAGCTAAAAATTTTGTAATATATGACGTCACAATAATATGTATGTTGGTTGCATTGGCTATTTAATTTTGTATGTTATGTTTTACCGCATATAATCGACAAGAGATGTCACTTAATTTTATTTTTATTAAACAAAGGGTGACTTCCATATTGTACGAACTGAGTTAATTTCGTGAATCGCTTGCCATATCATTTGCGTAGAAATTTTCACGAAGTCATTTAACTATTTAAAAGTACATAGAAAATACAGAGAGAGTCTCAAAAAAAATTTTGGCCCTTTTTTTGTATATTCAGAATGGAATGTTATAAGACCGTAATACAATTTGTTTATTTTTTATTATTCAAAAATTCCATCTCTTTCATTTTTCTTCATTTTGTATTAATCGTAGGAAAGTTATTGCTTTCCAGATAAATTATCAAACACTCCAAGTTACATACACACTCTAAGTTATATACATAACTCCTTAACCTTTAATGTTATAACCGTCAGAATCTGCGAAAAGAGCTAAATTGTTATCCTTGGTTTTGTATTTCCATCATATTAAAAAACCTTTTTTTACATTCAATCTTTTTGTATAGGAAATATCCACATATGTGCAGCGTTTCGACATGTGCCATGGTTTGGTAAACCCAAAAAAAAAAACAGGTATATCGATTCCTATATGGCTACTAAAATTTATTAATTCATTTCATTCTAAATTGCGTGACTATTTCCGATATACTTGTCAGTAAATATAGTTAGTACTTTAATTTTGTTCTCTGCTAGTTTGAAGTAAATAAGCTATTTTTTATTTTGGATATATATTTATTTACGATTTCTTCCTTTAAATTATAATAAAAAATTTGTTAAAATCAAATAGAAATACAAAATAAAAAAATAAATTGAATTTTGAAAAACAACTTGTTATTAATAATAATAATAACAAATACTTTAATTTTTTTTATTTTAAAGCATCTATTTGATTTTGTTTTTGCTATAAAACTGAATTTTTATACTTAAATATATAAATAAAAATTAAATTTATTTTTGTTTTAATATTTCTTCTTAGTATTTATATTTAGTTAAATGAATGTCACCATTAAATAACTCAATTAAAAAAATTCAAATATAAAAAAAAATTTTGTTGGTTTGTTTTAATTTTCTTAACTAATAAATTATGTGGATCGCATTTATTTCATACACCTACTAATATAAATCAATCTTTTATATTTTTTATTTTCTTTAAAATTAAAAACCTACAGATTTTAATTTCATTGTATTCTATATTTTCAAAAGATAATAACTTAATAACAAATAAACTCGTTAGATTTGACTAACTGATTTTAGTTGTTTTAATATAACGATCCATCATTGAATATATTTAGAGAATGAAGCCTGTTAGTTTTAAATGTTTGATACTTAATGGGTGTTTTCTGAATTTCTCATGTTATCTTATAGAAACTCAATAATTATTTAATTTATTTTCTATGTTGCTTTTATAATTATTTTTTTTATTGAACAGCTTTATTTTATTTTAAGAAGAATTTTTGTATTAATAGAAGAGAATATAATTCATATTTATAATTAAAAAAAGAAAAAAAAATGTGAAAAAATCAATGAAGGACGACCGGGCTATCACTGGCAGCATTGCTTGCGTACATCTGGAACAGTAGGCTTAACTTCAAGTGGTTCAATACTGGGTCGAATAACGTCACCTTCCGGTGGATCCCTGATTTGTTTTTGTGATACAATCCGATAAATTTCTAAAATAATTGATATACATACATATGTATTTTGCATTACATTATTTTTTTAATATATAATTTTCCCACATTACATTATCACTTTTTTTATAAAAATAGTAAAAGAATTTATTCAAAAAACGAGTTTTATTCGATTTTTTTATAATTTTTTACTATTAAAAACAACAATACTACTGTACCAAAAATATTTCTCTAAATACATACATATGTATGTTCGTTTTTCTGTTTTTTACAATGTCAATTGGTAGGAAAAGGTTACAATTTAGATTCATATACCGAAAAATTAAAAACAATTAACGAATTCGTACTCTACCAAACTAATTTTTACGCAAAATACTTAAAAGAATCATAAAAAATACCTGTGAGTATATTTTGGAATGCAGTTTCAACATTAGTTGAATCCAAAGCTGACGTTTCAATGAAACTCAAACCATTTTTTTCCGCAAATTGCTTTGCCTCATCAGTAGGCACGGAACGTAAGTGTCTCAAATCAGATTTATTGCCAACCAACATGATAACAATATTTTGATCAGCATGATCACGTAATTCTCTTAACCATCTTTCAACGTTTTCGTAAGTTAAATGTTTTGCAATATCATACACAAGAAGGGCCCCAACTGCACCACGATAATAGGCTGATGTTATTGCTCTGCATTTAAAAATGTTTAGTAATTATCAGAGATTAGATGAAAATTGTATTTTATTACCGATAACGTTCTTGGCCAGCTGTATCCCAGATCTGAGCTTTAATAGTTTTCCCATCAACCTAAAATTAAATAAAAATAAGAATTTGCTGTGGCACCAATTATATTATTTGCTTAAGATTTCAACGATCACATAAAAAAAAATTTATCAAGTTTCAATGGAATAAATAAACTGAATTCGCTTATTGAAATTTTTAGTTAATTATTATAACTTTTCAGTTGCGTAATTGAAAAAACTACTAATCTCTTAGACATGTGGAGTGTACTGTAAAAGTGAGATAAATATCTTATCAAATTCAAAAGAAAGTCATCAATTTTTAACACTAAATACAACAAAAGCCAAATTGATGAATATTATTTCAAAAACTGCAAGTTATATTTTTGTTAAATTTATTGAAGGTTTAAAAAAGTGCGAAATACATTTTGGACCACGAAAAGATGACATTACCAATATCCCTACTTTCTTTCGGGTTTCAGCAAATTATTGGTTGCACATATAAAACTTACTTCTATGCTTCTAGTCGCGAATTCTACTCCTATTGTTGACTTAGATTCCAAATTAAACTCATTCCTAGTAAATCGAGAAAGTAAATTGCTTTTGCCTACACCAGAATCACCAATTAACACAACTAAAATGAGAAAAGAAAAATTAAAATTTATTATTATTACATTATTAATACAAAGTCATTTAAAACATCAATATTAAAACAAAAACCATTGTTCCAACTAAACAAAAGAGACCAACTAAAAAAAACCATCAAATTGTGTTATGCAGTTGAATTGATAATTCCTTGAAATTCGCTAAGGTAAGACACAAAATGTATTTTATTTTTCATCGCTGTACGATCTATTGAATAAAACAGGTGCAATTTAACAATCAAAGAATAAAATTATTATTAGGATTTAAAATCGTATTAGACAACGTGTCATGATGATTATTTGTCCACTTGTTCATTATAAGGAGTTACCTACTTATAGTTGCGAATGACAAAACGCATATGTAAGTATTTATGTAGGTATATTGTTATGACACCTCTTGATAATGTATTGTATATTTATTTTAACATGGTGATGAACAAACTTTTTTGTACGTAAAATTACAATACAATTGAACCGCAAAAGTTAAATAGTTTCAAAAACTTCGCAAAATAAAATTTCTAGCTAACAAGCAAAATTTTTACTTTTTAAACCAAGAATAACGGAAAATAGAATGTATAAGTGTAATACTGAATTATGTACATAATTGGAATCTCAATTTAATCTTTAATTAATATATTTAATTCAACACACCCACTTTTCAAAAACAATTTTGTGATTAGATCTTTTACAATTTACATAGTATTTATTTTTTAATTTTATTTTTACTTAAAATGTGAACTACTCAAAATATGATTTTTTTTAATATTGCGCAAAAATAAATTTACCTTTGAAAAGATAGTCATATTCATCATCCCTGGTTCCCATTTTAAAAAAAAAACTATTTTTATATAATTCGTTGAAATTTTTATTTTTCTGAAACTATTCTCTACCAAAATCACTCCTTGTAATATTTTAATTATCGTGTAGTTTAAAACTTCACTTTAATTGAAAAAAATGATGACTGGGAACAAAGCAGATTGAAATGATGACGAATTTTCTACGTGAAAATCACTTTTCCTTTTCTTTAATTTTTCATTATTTGCAACAAAAGAAATCACAGAATATTATTTAGTCCCAATATGAATAACAATTCAAACTTTTTTTGTTTCTTCAGGTTGTATTATTTTAATTTGCTATTTATTTAGTACAATAAAAATTCAAAAAAAAAAAAAAGAACGGGTGAAAATTTTCAACTTGCATAAAAAGTGAGAATTATACGAGCTCACCGCGAATAAGATAGAAATTCATCTGTCAACGTAATAAGATGGAAAGAAATAGCAGATGTATTCTGTTAATGAAAAAGAAATAACAATTAACTTGACATTCATGTTGGTAACATTTATTGCAAGGCTGACATTGCCAGATTAAACTAAATATTACATTTGTGATGCACTCAAATTTTCAATGAATTTTGAATCAAACTTGTTCAGAATATCCTTGTTTTCAAAATTGCAGTAAAACTGTATTGCTAGTTTATTTAGCAATTTCAACTTATAAACTAAATTTTGTATTAATATCGTATAGGAACATTTTGAAGCCCAAATATTTTACAAGGTTTGATTAATGTTAATTTTGCTAAAAGTTATTATTTCATTTATCTTTCCATATTAATTAATTTTGTCAAGATTATTTTGCCTTTTGTATGAACTATTTAGATAAAGTGAAGTTTAAGTATTTGTTACATGATTGATTAAACTTTAGAATAAATATGTATTTGAGGTGAAAACTATCCAATTATCATCAATTTTTTTTTCAATTAATTTTGTGCGAAAGCTTAGAACAGCGATCAGCATATTTTTATTTTGGTTATAATTTTTGTTGCAAAATTATTAAATTTTGATGTTAAGTCTAAAGATATGATAAGTGTAAGTTAGTTACCCAAGAATTTTTTTGTCAATTATTTTTTTGTGAAAGCTTGAAACAGCGATTAGCTGTTTTTATATTCTGGTTATAATTTTTGTTGCAAAATTGTTAAATTTTGATGTTGAATCTGAAAATATGATAAGTGTAAGTTAGTTACCCAAAAATCGCGTCACTCTTTTCGCAATTTTCTATTAAAAATAACTTGGTCACATATTACTATAAATAAAATGGAAGTATTAGTAACAACGTTATCAACTCCTACAAAATTAAAATCTGAATGTTGAAAACAGCGAATGGTATTTTTGTGGGAAGTATCTGTCAATCCATTAATATACATATTAGAAAACGAATGCGCAAAAAAAAGGGTGATCGTTTAAGCTCACCTTTAAATTTTTTATTTATTGTTTTCCTGTTTTTATTCTTTTACGGTATTAACCAATTTTTGTTATAATAAATAGCCTGCATTAAACATGTAATTTTCATTCTAACATTTGAGTTTCATGATTGAGAATACAACTGTACATGTGTACAAGTGCCAGTGTGCAGTTTATACCTATTGTGGAAAGAGAACAACTTGTTGAAATATAAAATAATTTCAATTCATAATTTTTAAGAATGTCTGCTGGAAAAATACTTGTTTATGGGGGGAGAGGTGCTCTTGGTGCCGCTTGTGTTAATCACTTCAAGGCTAAAAATTTTGTAAGAATTTCATTTTTTCATGCACGCAATTTTTTTAACAATGAGATAAAACTCGAAAATATTGAATTTATTTTACTTAGTGGGTCGGCAGCATTGATTTAACAGAAAATGAGCAGGCAGATTTAAGTATAGTGGTGCCTAAAGATGGAGACTGGGTAACACAAGAGACTTACGTAGTAAGTAAAGTTGGAGACGCTTTGAATGGTGAAAAATTGGATGCTGTAATATGTGTTGCCGGAGGTTGGGCTGGAGGAAATGCAAAAAAAGATTTAGCAAAAAATTCGGATTTGATGTGGCGACAATCAGTTTGGACTTCTTCAATATCCGCAGCTGTTGGAGCACGATATTTACGTGATGGCGGGTTGTTGGCTTTGACTGGGGCAAATCCAGCTTTGAAGGGTACTCCGGGGATGATCGGTAAAAATGGGAAAATGAGAAAGAATGAGTTTTACATTAAATTATATTTTAATTTAAGGGTACGGAATGGCAAAAGCAGCCGTACATCAGCTTACCAAATCTTTGGCTGGCAATGAATCTGGTTTACCTAAAGATTCTGTGGTCGTTGCGATATTACCCATAACGCTTGATACTCCGATGAATCGAAAATGGATGCCTGAAGCTGATTACACTTCTTGGACTCCTTTATCTTATGTTGCTGAGTAAGTAAAATTACTTTTCTTAATACATACATATTCCATTAAGCAATTAATTTATTTTTATTTTGCATATGGCTTAATAAAAAAATTACAATTGAAGTTTGCTAATGTCTTGGACTGTAAATGAAAAACGTCCTTCAAATGGTTCATTAATACAACTTGTTACAAAAAATTCGAATACAACATTGAAAGTTACAGAATGAAAATAAAACTCCCTTCCACAACTTCATTGGACTGGATAATCTCGAAAGCTTTATTTTTTTTAACAATTTATTTACGGTGCTTTTTGGTTGTATGTGTTAAGTGGTTTTTTTTATGGAGAAATTAGTTGTGGAAAATTTTTTTTGTTTTGAATGACAATAAATTGAAGAGAAAAATAAATTTTATTTTAAAAAAAAATCCCATTCAGTTTTTAGATTAAGGTTCTGATAACATTTAACCCTCCATTCAAAATTTTGTAGCATGATTTCTGCTATTTAAAAAGAAGGGAAAGTTTTGGCTTAGTTTCATTTTTAAAAAGGTTTTGTAAAAAGTAGACAAGCCCTTCAGAATATGCGAGTTCATTTGTAATCTTGAAATGAATATGCTTTTTTTGAAGTTATCTCAAATACATTAAATATTTAAAAAGATTTTATATAATATAAAGTTTGAAAATAAAAAGAAATATAAACTCTATTTATTAATTTGAATATTTTGCAACATGGTGCTTAACATAATGCCAACTTTATAATATGTGGTGAATGAGGTTTTACATAATTTTGCTAAAAATGACGCCAATATAGTTGTAGTATTAAATAATAAAATTCTAGTTTTACATTTTTGTATTACAATTAAATACTACACAGGAACTCTGCGGAGTCAATATCTCACCACAATTTATAAGAGGCTTACAATTTTAATTCAGTGAGATGTCTTAAAATAGTTTATAAAACATGCTTTGAACACATTATATAATTTGGTTGAAAATATAATTTTTTGTTTCAAAATTCAAACATGTTTTAAAACATAATTTAAATATACACTATTCAATAGAAATAATTGCGGCATCTATTGAAAGAGAACATGCAACATTATAAGTTAAATATGGAAATTCATTAAAAATTGAAAGTTAACATTAACGGAAAATTTACCTGATCTTATTTTTTTTATGTTTATTGATTTATATAGCCTGATCTTGTATTTTTTTTGTTTATTAATTTATATTGGCAATTTGAAATAATTCAAAATATATCTAAACTAATTCTAACCGCTTCATTTCTTTAAATAATTCCTTTCCCATATGAGCTGGGCTCCTCGTAACGATTACGTTAGCCTTTTCAAGAGCTTTAATTTTGTCACCAGCTCCACCTTTACCACCTGAAATAATTGCACCAGCATGACCCATTCTTCTACCAGGAGGGGCTGTCAAACCAGCAATGAATGATACTACTGGTTTAGCTTTTATTCCCTTAAAATAAAAATTTTACCTTATTAAAAAAATTTTTGAAATAATTTATACGAAACCCATACTTGATTGTGTTCAAGAAGATACTCTGAAGCTTTCTCTTCAGCTACTCCACCAATTTCACCAATCAAAATTATTCCTTTTGTATCGGGGTCTTTCAAAAAAACATCCAGGCAATCAATAAAGTCGGTACCGTTAAACGGATCGCCACCAATTCCCACGCAAAGGGTTTGTCCTAATCCAACCTATTTGAGAAATAAAAGCAGTTTGCAGAGAGGAACAAATTTGAATAAAATTGTAAATATCTTATATTTACCTCTGTTGTTTGATTTACCGCTTCATAAGTTAGAGTTCCAGATCTTGACACTACTCCAACTTTACCACGCTTGTGAATATGACCAGGCATAATCCCTATTTTGCACTTGGTAAAACAACGAAATTAAACAAAACATATCAAATTATTAATCTGAGGTATCTATGTAAATGGGAAGTAAAATTTTCTTGGTTATATATGACTAAAATTTGCTTAGTTAGGTATACACACATATATGTAAGCAAAATAATTTTAGTCTCAAAATTAGTTTACGCTTTGCTGATAAAAATTGGCCTGATTTTGAAAAAAAAAAAACAAGTTTTATTTTTATTTGAATTTAAACTATGCAAAAGTGAACTTTGACTTATTTGTCTTATCTAATCACTGAAAATAGGAAAAATTAACAAATTATTAAAACTTACTCTTTCTGGAGCTATGATGCCTGGGCAATTTGGTCCAACTAGTCTTGACTTTCCTTGAGTTAATAAAGCATGTTTAACACGAACCATGTCATGCTGTGGAACACCCTCTGTAATGCACACAATTAATCCTACTTCAGCTTCAAGTGCTTCCATTATGGCAGCTGCAGCTCCCGGTGGAGGAACATAAATGACAGTTGCATCGCAATTTGTGGCTTTTTTAGCCTCTGCTACCTAAAACTCTAAAACTATGAAACGTGTTAATATTTAAGCTTAAACTTACTGTAGCAAAAACTGGCAATCCAAGGTGCTCAGTACCACCCTTTTTTGGTGAAATTCCCCCGACAAGTTTGGTACCGTATTCCAAAGCTTGTTGACTGTGAAAAGTACCTTGTTTTCCAGTAAAACCTTGGCAAATGACCTTGGTTTCAGCGGTCAACATAAGATTTTTTCTTGATTGACTGTAAGAACTGCTTAAACGAACACCGGTCAAAAATCCGCCTGTAATATAAGAATTGAACACTGTTCTAATAATTTTAATTGCGCATATGATAACATTTTTTTAAATTTTATAACTTTTAATGTTAATAAATTTTCTAAAAATTATTTTGCTCACTTAATGTCAATATATTATATAATAGAAACCATTTTATTACCTTGAAAACGGGTAATAATTCTTGAAGCAGCCGCCATAACTCAAGACTGAAACTCTCACAAAGAAGTTCAATTTAGCAAAATATAATTTACTAATATTTAAAGTTTACTCAATAGATAAATTTAAAGAAATAAAGTTGCAAAATTTCTATCCTGATCACTGATAAAATCACATACGTGCGAGAGAGACGAGCTCACTGAATTTTTTTTTCCTTCTGAATTTTTTGAAGTTTGACATTGACAGTTTTCATTGCTTACTTATTTTATTGTTACCGATATTTTACGTTAATAATGTAGCAAGCAAAACAAGTTACGACTTGCGAAAGTTGAAGTTGTGGAGTTGTTTTTTATATACAATATATATTTTAAAATGATTCCAGTAGCACATATAGTTATGCTTTATTCCCGCAATGAGATACATTGCTAAACATTATAACAATGTAAATATATAGCGTAAAAACTTTTAAATAAAAAGAAGGCCATTACAAGTTTTTCAGTTCAAAGGTCAGCCTTATTAACACGTATTCTATAAAACTAAGTTTATTCAAATTTTTCGATAAATTACAAAAATTTGATTTTTAATTATTTTCGAAAGACGAAAACATTTATATTTGGATTATTGGGTTTTGACAGTTTGTTGACTTCAACTTTAATTAGTAAATCAAAAAGAAAGTTTTAAATGTCAATGTTTTTTAGTTGGTAATACGATTATCTGACACGACTTAATTTTTACAAAAATTTCTCTTAATGCCGAATAAAAAGCTGTAGTATATATTAGGATATATATAATTTTTAATAATTTATTAGTTTTTGAAATGATATCTATTAAACCAAGTTCACTTTCATAATGGATAATATGGAAAGAAGAATAAGATTACGTACTTTAAACACTCATATAACTTGCAAAATATGTGGAGGCTACTTCATTGATGCAACCACAGTCACTGAATGTTTACATACATGTAAGTCTCGAGAGTATTTAATTTTATCGGGAATTAATTGAATATTTTTCAAAAGAAAGTTTTTATTGAAAAAATTAAACACACAACATAATTTTAGTTTGCAAAAGTTGTTTAGTAAAACACTTGGAAGAAAAGAAAACTTGTCCGACATGCGAGAATGTTATTCATCAGTCACATCCATTGCAATATATAAGTTTTGATCGAACTATGCAAGACATTGTATATAAACTAGTACCGAATTTGCAAGAAAGTTCGTTGATATATTTTGCATTTTAATATGGACTCTTTGAAAAGAAATTTTTCTTTTTAGATGAAATGAAGAGGGAAAGAGATTTTTATAGAAGTCGTAATATGGCTTGTCCAAAAGATTTACCACAGAATCATGAAGATGATGATGACAAGGTTAATGAAGCACATGCTGAATCCGACTATCATAGATTAGATGAGCAAGTTAATGTTTGTTTAGAGTGTAGTAGTAACAATTTAAAAAATTTGCAACGAAGGTTTTTGAGGTGTAGTTCTCAAGCAACTATCACTCATTTAAAGAAATTTTTAGCAAAAAAAGTTTTAAATGGAATAGAAAAATATAGAGAGGTTTAAATCTTTTTCAATATCAAAATAGGCATAACAAATCTCAATGACCAATGATTTGAGACCTTGAAAACGTGGAAGTATGTAAATTAAAATTAGCACTTTGTACAGAAAGTCGCGAATATATATATATATATCTACGTATTTGAATTTATTGTCAAGTTTTATTTTAGTTAAAATAAATTTAAGGGCTTTTTGAAAATTAATATAATTGAGAATTGAGATATTCTGTTTTGCCTAAGATTTTGAAATACTTTTGAAATTTCAAATTATTATTTATTTTTTAGATTGATATTTTATGCAATGAAGAACTTTTGGGTAAAGATCATACATTAAAATTTGTATATGTTACCCGATGGCGATTCCGGGATCCACCATTAAGATTACAGTTTAGACCTAAAGTAGACATTTGAATAAGTAGTAACAACAAATTGTTTTTAAAAATAAATATAGTGATCAATATAATGTATAACTCAGAATATTAAGGCAAAATAATATAAGTTTAAGATATATTCATGTATATTAATGCATTTAATGTACAAAGTGGTCCGTAACTGGTATTAAAGCAATTCTTGGGGTGATTCCTCAGATACTTGTGTTTTAATCAATTATTTTTGTATCAATAGCAGCATTTCAAGTTAAGTTTTTTAACAATCATTTGAAAATAAAAAAAATTACATTAATTTTGTTTAGTTTTACAATTTATTTTTTATAATATTAAACATAAAGCTTAAAAAAACAACAAAACTTTTATTCGCAAATAATAAAAATGTTTGCATTTTGAAAAGTAAAAGTGCAAATTTTTTGAATAGTGAAACGGGTTAGTACGTTTTCAATTTTTACATCTTTCAAAATGTGAGTAATTTAAGGAAGATTTTTTTTTCGTGCTTTCGTTCCAATTTTGGAATTTTAATTTTTATATTATTTTGCCAAGGATTTCAAAAATTTTATTTGTTTTTTTCTAGTATTATTGTTATTAAACCAATACATATATACATATGAATGTACATCACCTTATTTTATATATACAAAATTATTTTCATTAAAAATACAAATGAAATTTTTCCAATTTTTTTCTTAAATTAAAAATGTAGAAATATATATATTTCCAATATATTAGACCGCCAAAAAAAAAATATATTAAAACATCTTTCTAATTTTCTTAAGTTTGAATTATTAATCCAAAAAAATAAAACAAAAGTTATGAAATTTATTTTATGAAATTTTCTACTATGTTTAATATAAAATATATTTAGTGGTTTTAATAATTTGTAAAAGAAAAACTTTTAATTACATTTGTACATATTTTTATCTCGAAAATTAATTTCGTAAATCGTAAGAAAGCAAAATCAAGGAAATAAAACTTCGTGTGAAAATATATAGTTTTATAGCATAAAATTTTAACAAAAAGTTAGAATAAAACTTATTTAGTATTGCAGTAGAATAGTTTATCTTTGAACAGGAACAATTGCATATTGCAATAGATTTATGTATGTTTGTAAGTATACACATTTTATTTTAAATTTCGAAGCTCATTTTAATTTGAATCTAACGAACTAAGTTTGTACTTGGATTCTATGATTCTTGCAATTTAATCTATTATATTTTGCTTTTTTATTAACAGCTACATAAACATAAATTACTTTGTGTGCGTTTATTTTGTGGTCGTTTATACCTCAGTAAAAAACATGGGAAAATATTAATAAAAAGTAAGAATACGTACACATACATAAGTGTGGATGTAATAAAGACATTAAAATTGTAAAACTAAATAATTTAAAAGCTTTTTTAAGTACGAAATCCCTTTTGTTTTTTAAAATGAATATGTGTGCAAATAAAATACATATATACGTATGTAATTTATAGCTTAAATTTGTTGGTCATTTAGTGAATATGTAGATAAACACATACATATACACTAAACGATCAGTAAAATAAAATTTGAAGAAAAAAAATCAATATGAAATGTGTTTAACACATACATTTGGTTTGACACGAAACCGCGCAAATATAAACATGTTGCAAATAAAATTATTAGAACATGTTTATAATTTGTTGACAGAAGCTTTAGTATGTCCAATTTTTTTTATTTTAGTGTTCAGTGTGGACATATATTGTAAAGTAAAATTCGCAATTTTAGCAAAAATGCTTCCGAAATCGACAATTATATATGAAAGCGTTAAAAAATGTCGCCCAAATTATTAAGCTAATTATACGCAAAACATAAATTTTGTAGTTGGTATTGATTATGATATAAATTCTCCAGATCTCAATATAAATACTTGACAATAGATAGCGCTGAGCGCTGCACGTCATATTGGAAAAAAAACTTATTAGATTATATTATGAAATTTTGATGGATTTACTACGTTAATTGTAAATATATTTTACAATTAAAATTATAAATATATTTTGTAATTAAAATTTAAAATACTGAAAATAATAGCAAATACACTTATACAAAAAAGCATTCGTATATACTTTTTGAAATTTTGTATACATTCAGTAAATTATTATTATTAATTATAAATTATAATAAGTGTATTCCAACCATAAATCCATAGAAGGATTTTTCGATGAACAGAAATAAATCAAAATCATGATTGTGAACCTGAAAATTAAGTTCGTAAAAATTCTAGATTTTAAATTTCAGCAAAATTATAAAATGTGAAACAAATTGCTAGCGAAGACACAAACAAATGTATGTGGTTTCAAATAATTTAAGACAGAAAAATTTGGAACACATGCCAAATTGGTTCGTGTTTATAAACGTAGACATTTGAATAAGTAGTAACAACAAATTGTTTTTAAAAATAAATATAGTGATCAATATAATGTATAACTCAGAATATTAAGGCAAAATAATATAAGTTTAAGATATATTCATGTATATTAATGCATTTAATGTACAAAGTGGTCCGTAACTGGTATTAAAGCATTCTTGGGGTGATTCCTCAGATACTTGTGTTTTAATCAATTATTTTTGTATCAATAGCAGCATTTCAAGTTAAGTTTTTTAACAATCATTTGAAAATAAAAAAAATTACATTAATTTTGTTTAGTTTTACAATTTATTTTTTATAATATTAAACATAAAGCTTAAAAAAACAACAAAACTTTTATTCGCAAATAATAAAAATGTTTGCATTTTGAAAAGTAAAAGTGCAAATTTTTTGAATAGTGAAACGGGTTAGTACGTTTTCAATTTTTACATCTTTCAAAATGTGAGTAATTTAAGGAAGATTTTTTTTTCGTGCTTTCGTTCCAATTTTGGAATTTTAATTTTTATATTATTTTGCCAAGGATTTCAAAAATTTTATTTGTTTTTTTCTAGTATTATTGTTATTAAACCAATACATATATACATATGAATGTACATCACCTTATTTTATATATACAAAATTATTTTCATTAAAAATACAAATGAAATTTTTCCAATTTTTTTCTTAAATTAAAAATGTAGAAATATATATATTTCCAATATATTAGACCGCCAAAAAAAAAATATATTAAAACATCTTTCTAATTTTCTTAAGTTTGAATTATTAATCCAAAAAAATAAAACAAAAGTTATGAAATTTATTTTATGAAATTTTCTACTATGTTTAATATAAAATATATTTAGTGGTTTTAATAATTTGTAAAAGAAAAACTTTTAATTACATTTGTACATATTTTTATCTCGAAAATTAATTTCGTAAATCGTAAGAAAGCAAAATCAAGGAAATAAAACTTCGTGTGAAAATATATAGTTTTATAGCATAAAATTTTAACAAAAAGTTAGAATAAAACTTATTTAGTATTGCAGTAGAATAGTTTATCTTTGAACAGGAACAATTGCATATTGCAATAGATTTATGTATGTTTGTAAGTATACACATTTTATTTTAAATTTCGAAGCTCATTTTAATTTGAATCTAACGAACTAAGTTTGTACTTGGATTCTATGATTCTTGCAATTTAATCTATTATATTTTGCTTTTTTATTAACAGCTACATAAACATAAATTACTTTGTGTGCGTTTATTTTGTGGTCGTTTATACCTCAGTAAAAAACATGGGAAAATATTAATAAAAAGTAAGAATACGTACACATACATAAGTGTGGATGTAATAAAGACATTAAAATTGTAAAACTAAATAATTTAAAAGCTTTTTTAAGTACGAAATCCCTTTTGTTTTTTAAAATGAATATGTGTGCAAATAAAATACATATATACGTATGTAATTTATAGCTTAAATTTGTTGGTCATTTAGTGAATATGTAGATAAACACATACATATACACTAAACGATCAGTAAAATAAAATTTGAAGAAAAAAAATCAATATGAAATGTGTTTAACACATACATTTGGTTTGACACGAAACCGCGCAAATATAAACATGTTGCAAATAAAATTATTAGAACATGTTTATAATTTGTTGACAGAAGCTTTAGTATGTCCAATTTTTTTTATTTTAGTGTTCAGTGTGGACATATATTGTAAAGTAAAATTCGCAATTTTAGCAAAAATGCTTCCGAAATCGACAATTATATATGAAAGCGTTAAAAAATGTCGCCCAAATTATTAAGCTAATTATACGCAAAACATAAATTTTGTAGTTGGTATTGATTATGATATAAATTCTCCAGATCTCAATATAAATACTTGACAATAGATAGCGCTGAGCGCTGCACGTCATATTGGAAAAAAAACTTATTAGATTATATTATGAAATTTTGATGGATTTACTACGTTAATTGTAAATATATTTTACAATTAAAATTATAAATATATTTTGTAATTAAAATTTAAAATACTGAAAATAATAGCAAATACACTTATACAAAAAAGCATTCGTATATACTTTTTGAAATTTTGTATACATTCAGTAAATTATTATTATTAATTATAAATTATAATAAGTGTATTCCAACCATAAATCCATAGAAGGATTTTTCGATGAACAGAAATAAATCAAAATCATGATTGTGAACCTGAAAATTAAGTTCGTAAAAATTCTAGATTTTAAATTTCAGCAAAATTATAAAATGTGAAACAAATTGCTAGCGAAGACACAAACAAATGTATGTGGTTTCAAATAATTTAAGACAGAAAAATTTGGAACACATGCCAAATTGGTTCGTGTTTATAAACGTAGACATTTGAATAAGTAGTAACAACAAATTGTTTTTAAAAATAAATATAGTGATCAATATAATGTATAACTCAGAATATTAAGGCAAAATAATATAAGTTTAAGATATATTCATGTATATTAATGCATTTAATGTACAAAGTGGTCCGTAACTGGTATTAAAGCATTCTTGGGGTGATTCCTCAGATACTTGTGTTTTAATCAATTATTTTTGTATCAATAGCAGCATTTCAAGTTAAGTTTTTTAACAATCATTTGAAAATAAAAAAAATTACATTAATTTTGTTTAGTTTTACAATTTATTTTTTATAATATTAAACATAAAGCTTAAAAAAACAACAAAACTTTTATTCGCAAATAATAAAAATGTTTGCATTTTGAAAAGTAAAAGTGCAAATTTTTTGAATAGTGAAACGGGTTAGTACGTTTTCAATTTTTACATCTTTC